TCTTCAAGAATGTTCCATAGATTTGAAATTATTAGTAACCTAAATTGTTACAGTTCAAGCGTGATACATTAATTGAAAACACGAAATCCATTATATCTGTTTTACTTCCCGCGAAAATATTAATAAAACAGCATTGGCACTGCGCTAGCGACAGTGCCCTCTCTACCTTGTGTGCAGCTTCTTATCTCGGACATCTGCGCATACGCACAACATCCAAACACCGAGTCGCTGGAACTGTGTAAATTACAGTCAACTTCGTTTCGGAATATGTGATAATGTTTTAAAACCAGTCTAGGAGGCATCTGATGGCAACTAAATACGGATAAACTGTAAGTAGACATTGTGCTGTATGTACCTGTTGATTCATTTACGTGAGTTATATGTAACGTGTGTCTTTTTCTTCTTCTTCGCGTTTACCAGCTGTACACTCTGGCTGAAAGTTCTGGTTGATCATCCACTTCTGGACTGCAGTCCTGTTCCAGAACCTGAGTGTTGCGTGTGCATCCGTTTTACAGATCTGACTTATTAGCATGCAGACTGCTAGTTCCTTGCCTCTCAGGCAGATGCACCACGACTTTGAAGGAAGATCCCAGCTAGTCGACTCTTACGACATGCTTTTGGGTAGGCAGTGGGTCTATTCTTATTTTCCCTATAACAGGGCTCCGGAACCCACACTGGTACGTGTGTGTCTGAATTACTAGACAGTTAGTGAAAAAGAAATTAAAAATCTACTGAGGCCGTGGTACTAGTGTTTCAAGGAGAATGGTTGAAATTCAGCGGACAGCCATATCTAGATGTTTTGATAAAGACACGAAACGAAAACATCACAAACAGGGTAAAGAAAAATGCACCAGCTTTTGCTCACACAATGAGAAAGAAAATCAGGAACTTGTGACAAATGGAAAGCTTTAAGAAAAGAACTTTGTAGAGATATAATGAGAGAAAGTTCTTAACATCTTTCTCCCCATGTGGGTTCCAGGGCTACATAAAAAAAGGGGAGGGGGGATAAAAACCACTGTAATCATGTCGTAACAGGGTATATTTAAGGTGTACTCCAGAAAGCATCAGCCTGAGAGCCAAGCAGCCATCAGTCTTAAGTAAGTCAGATCTGCAAAGCTGATGTACACGCAAAACTCAAGTTCTGAAACAAGATCAGAAATTGGACGAACACAGAAACACCAGAGTTTACAGCCGAGGAACGGAAAGATTTGATCGATGCTCGGGGAATAGTCAGCACCCTTATCAGCGTTCACGGGCTGCAAAATCCGGCGGAAAGTAGGCTCTAGCTCTAGCTGATTTTAGTTCCATTCCGACCAGATGATCACACCATTTGATTCTTTGACGTTCTCTAAAACTATTCACCCTTACAGTACCTATTGTCGGCTTTGTGGCTAAGTCGATGCGAACACTTCGTAATGCCGGGTTCGATGCTAACTGCGGGCCATACGCCTTGCGTTGGTTTCGACAGTGGTATCAAGAAAGCCGAGCGTCCAGAAAGCAATGGCAAACTACTAGATGTAAATTTGCCTTAAAAAACCACACAGCAACCAGGGGCTGTTGAGGTTGGTTCTGCAACGTCATGTAAAGGATACGCAACTAACCTCAACAGTACCGACTATTTTTCTTAGTTCTTTTTGACATAACAAAGCATTGTATAACACATTCAGCAAAGACACAATAAAAACACAACTCTGGAAATAAACAAGGGAACAAACTATATATTTATTCTCACTTCAGAAATGTTGAATTACATGGGTATCTCTACGTAAAAATTCATCTTCTAAATACATTGCCACAAAAGCGTGCGAAGAGAAAACATTATTTTTTAAAACTGAAGTCATAATGTAAACGAAACAAAATAAAGTTATGGTCAATATATTTAAATTGTAGACATCAGTAAGGCATCCCCGGTACCTCCTCTGCTTTGTTTATCAGCACATTTACACTAAAATCAATATCAGCCCTACCCTGGCTCTAGTCGGGGGTCCTAATGTGACCTAAAAAAGTCTTTGGGTTGAACGGGGTTTCTGGGACCTGTCCGTGGGTGATCCTCATCCGCATGTTGGCACTTTGTGTCACCGCGTGTTTATCGCTCGGTGGGATGTCCTGGTGGGGTTGGACGTCAGCCAATCAATATATACTTAGACCTTGTTTAATTGAATTGTAAAGGACCCCAGAAATCAATAGTTCGTGTTACAGAGGTCCGTGCGACTCTCGTACCCTCATCCGAAAAACCTAAAGATACGTGGTTTTTACAAGTCAACCCTCTGACGCTGAAAACTAATTATAGTACTTGGGGTAGAGTGAGATGGGTGGGGGAGGGGCGGTGGGGTGGGATGTGGGATTGTTAAACTACTACTTTTTCTCACCCCTCCTTTATTACTGCTTAAGACATCGAGGAAGATAGGGTTTAAGGTTCTGCATCCCACTCTTCTGACCACCTCAACCATAGACACATCGTGCTGTTGTAGAGTTTCTCTGTCTTTCCAAGTTGTTTGTCTACCTTGTGATCTACATCCTTTTCCTCTTTTGACGTATGCCTTATATGGTATAACGTCACAAGGCATTTTCTTCAAGTGGACAAACAATTTGATTTAGTGTCTTTGTATGTAATTTAGAAGTGGTTCATTGCCGGCTTTTTCTCTTGTGACCCCATTTCTGATCTCATCTCTTCTGGTCACTCCTGCAGCCCTCATACATCTCATTTAATTTAACTACTTTCGCAGCGAGTAACTGAGGGACAGGGGCTGGCCAATACGAAGAGGGGCATAGGATATAAGTAACTCCTTGGATATGAACTTGCCCTAGGCGGGAGAGCTGGCAAGACTCTAGCAGACATACCATGACGGAAGTGACGTTCTTGAAGAACCAGCTGCACGATGATGATGACGATGATGATGCATTGCAAAAACTGTAACGCAAACAACAGTATCGCATAAATAAAGTAACAAATATAGACCGTGAGAACTCAGTTAACACTATACATCCAAATTATAACCCTGAGGGTTGAACAGGATATTTTTGACAAAATTACTGCAGCTACTCATCATCATCATCATCATCATCAGGTGCCTTGCCGACTGGCGTGGGCGATCATGCCTCTCCACTATCTGCGATCTCCTGCAGTATGTATCAGTTCGTGTGCCGAAATACCTCCATGCCATGAAACAATACTGTCAAGAATCTTCTCTCGTTGTCTTCCTCTATCCCCCTTCCACAGATCTTTCAAGTGGTCACAACATGTTATATTTTCCCTCTTCTCATAACATGGCCGAAAAATGATGACTATATCCTTCTGATGTCTGTGATAAGTTGTCTTCGGGTGCCGGCCTCTTTTAAAACCTCTTGGTTGCTCTTTTTGGTTGTCCAAGGTATTTTAAGCATTCTTCTGTAAAACCATATCTCTGAGGCCTCCAGAAATTGACTGCAACTACTACAATTGCAAAAAACGATCGTGCATTCTAAACATGAAACAAATAATCAAAACCTCACACTTATACAGACTAGCATAGAATATACACACAAATCTAGCAACAAATAAGTTTTACACAAACAGCAACTAGAAACGTATACATGATCATAACCACACGTTCGTGAATTCAACCACACAGTGGCAATTGTGTTTTATAAACAATTTTAACGTGAAACTAGGAAAAATGTGAGGGATTGTGGGAAAGATGATACATTTAGAAAAGTTAACAATAGGGCAAGCGAAAAAGTTTGTGATTTAAGGCACTTCAATCAAACATAGAAACTGTATATTTGGGAATCTCCTACCTAAAATGTAAGCAATATGAATATATTCTTTTGACAAAGCGACGTAAGAAATGTAGAACTGTGATAGATTCTTTGGTTGTATAAATCTGTAGACAATTACTGTTCCTGTAGTATTCTAGAGTGCGTAACTGTTTATCTCCATTTGATTCATATTTTTGTCAAATCGTGGATTACTATATCGTATGTCTTCCAGTTGGAAACGAACCGAGTATTTTGAAATTACGAAGCGGGCTCGTAACACATAAGCCACAGATTCCGACCAGTAGTAATAACTAAACATATTCATGACAACAACAATGTACACTTGTAATAAAAACAGTAATTTTAAATAGAATAAATGCTAATTATTCAAACAGCACCAAGTATGACTACATATTTTAACAATTAAATTATTGAATAATAATAATAATTAGAAAAGAAAGATTCAATCAATGCAGATGCGATGATCTTTAGTTCGTTTCAGAAGTCGTGATCAGCTTTAAAAATCTGTAACCCAGTAACTGCTTGGTGTAAATTGCCGCAGTTTGGTGTTCAACCCAACCTGTTAATAACAATGTCCTTTGTTTCTAAAACGTAAACAAAGATTTAGTTTTCATTTTCCATTATAGAAAACAGAAAAGAAAACAGACGCCGATTCAAAGCAAACAGTCAGCATACTTACGGTTATTTAACGGAAACTTTTCAAAAACCTCAAATTGCACACGTTTTGGAGGCGTTTGGCTCCCTGGTGGTCATCTCTAGCAACATCAGATGCCGCAAGTTGTTTTGGGCTTTCAAAACAATCACCATGACTACCACGATCACCGCGCATCGCTGCCTATGTGAACTGATTTCCAAACAATCTCCCAGAGTGTGTCAGATACTGCGGGCTTATATTCATTTTTTTCTTCTTTAAGTACACAAATCATTAGCCACACAAAGATCAAATAAATTCGCCGCTTTAATAAAACAGCTGTGCAGTTATCAATTACAGATCATAAGGGTATGAGAAATCTAAGGTAAAAAAAATTCGTGTTGATCCGTAAAGGAGTTTTCGAGATATTTGTTAATCTTTTCAAACGCACAATAGGCAGTTTTTTTTTTTTTTTAAGTTTACAAGTCTGGAGATAACACCGCTACGAAGTGGCAGACAATTTCTAAATTTATATAAACAAAATTCTCAAAATACCTAAAATTGTAAAAATAAAAAAAAAATAAAAATATATCACATTTTTACACATTTCTCATGTGCTGATCACGAATGGACTTCCCGGAACTTCGTCGTCGCCCCATTTGACGTGTAGGACATGCTCGCCAACCTCTTGAACCTTATAGGTCACCGTATATGAAGTCTGGGTTGTCTTTTTGATGCTCAGTTCAGCTACCGGGGTGCCGCTGGGGGAAATCATTCCCACAAACAGAACAGCGTTGCCTGTGTGGAAAAGAATGCGGCCAATTTAAAATCTATATTAATAAAAATGTTAAATTTCCGAGTTTAAATCTAAACTCGGAAACTACTGAACCGGTTGCTTTTAAATTTTCACACAACGTTGCCCTTGACTCAAAGCGTGATTTTGTGTCAGAAAATCGCACAAACCATGAACGACGTGGCTCCAGCAACGGTCAAATCATTATTTGTTTCGTTGGCGGCCCAAATTTGTTTTTAGTTGGTTGACCACCCTCGACTGCTAAGCAGGGCTGCCAATAGAAGCTTTTCCCCTCAGGATCAATCTCCGACATTTCTTTACCGATCGCTATTAAATTTTCACACAACGTTGCCTTAGACTCCGCGCGTGTTTGTGTGTATGAGTTTTGCACAAACCACGAATGACGTAGCTCCAGCAACAATTATTTCATTAGTGGTTTCATTGCCGGCCCAGATTTATTTTTAATTTTTGGCCACCTTTGACTCTGTGTGTAACACCGAACTTCACATTATTATATAATTTCATTTCTACTAAGTGCTTGAATAGATGTTAGCGTAGTTAGTTGTAAGCATTTCGCCATTCACGCGATAGGCGTTCGATTCCTCGCTGGGTGATATAACTTTTTTTTTGGGGGGGGGGGGGGGATGAGCCTATATGGGTGGCTGCCACTTTTGTTGTGGTTTATAGCTAGGCTGCAATATCTACGCCTTTTTCTCTCCGCTCGATTTGGGGGTTTACAGCTAGCCTGTTATAGCGGCGACGTGATGCACAATGTTCATATCACGGGTAATATTCGTTATCTGACCTAAAGTCTTCGGTAGTAGAGTTGTAAGTATTCCGCCCTTCACGCGATGACCGGTGTTCGATTCCCCGCTGGGTCTAATTTTTCTTTTCCCCCTAAAGGTGCGGTTGGCAGGTTGTGTTATGGTTTACAGCTTGTTGTGACATTGTTAACTGAGAGAGCTTAACATATTATTTTAAAGTTCTCATTTCTTAACTATTTTTATTTTATCAAAGTCGCCACGTGATAATTGTTAAATCATTCTAAGAGGGAGATATGATTGGGGAAGAGGTTATGACAGACACTGTTAGCTCAGAGAGCTTATAACTTTATTTTACAGTTCTCATTTCTTACATATTTATATTTTAATACCGCTTCCTCAGCTATTCTCATTTTTTTGGGGTGCCAGTTTGTTGGTCAGTTAGCGGTATAGCAGTCAGCTTTACGTTTACTTGTTTAAGCACACCAGATGCTTTAGCCTCGATAAACAAATAATCTTTTTTTCTCACTCTAAAAGTGCAATTTATTTGACCACTAATATCGACATTCACTGATATGTTGCGTGTTTTAGAGTTGGCATATCAGACTATCTCTGTAGCTTTGCAATGACTGATATTAACCATATTAGACAGGTGCACTTTTATTTTCTTTCTTTTCCAGTTTACCATTCTGGGCCACAGCAACGCGCGGCCGGGTACAGCTAGTTAAAAATAAAGAAGTAATGGGAAAAGTTACGTCTGTGTGTGTGTGTGCGTGCTTATATATGCGTGCGTGCGTATGTGTGTGTGTGTGTGTGAGTGAGTGAGTATTTTTTTAATCTCTAAACCTTAAATAGTCAAATTCTTTGAGTAGACAGAAAAACTGCATCCAGTGTGCTTTCTTCACATTTAGTCAAATTAATGGCAAGAAGAAGAAGAAGAAGAAGAAGAAGAAGAAGAAGAAGAAGAAGAAGAAGAAGTAGAAGAAGAAGAAGAAGAAAAAGAAGAAGAAGAAGAAGAAGAAGAAGAAGAAGAAGAAGAAGAAGAAGAAGAAGAAGAAGAAGAAGAAGAAGAAGAAGAAGAAGAAGGAGAAGAAGGAGAAGAAGAAGAAGAAGAAGAAGAAGAAGAAGGAGGAGGAGAAGGAGGAGAAGGAGGAGAAGAAGGAGGAGAAGGAGGAGGAGGAGGAGAAGGAGGAGAAGGGGAAGAAGAAGAAGGAGGGGAAGAAGAAGAAGAAGAAGAAGAAGAAGAAGAAGGGGAAGAAGAAGAAGAAGAAGGAGGGGAAGAAGAAGAAGAAGAAGAAGAAGGAGGGGAAGAAGAAGAAGAAGAAGAAGAAGAAGAAGAAGAAGGAGGGGAAGAAGAAGAAGAAGAAGAAGAAGAAGGAGAAGAAGAAGAAGAAGGAGGGGAAGAAGAAGAAGAAGGAGGGGAAGAAGAAGAAGAAGGAGGGGAAGAAGAAGGAGGGGAAGAAGAAGAAGAAGAAGAAGAAAAAGGAGGGGAAGAAGAAGAAGAAGAAGAAGGAGGGGAAGAAGAAGAAGAAGAAGAAGATGGAGGGGAAGAAGAAGAAGGAGGGGAAGAAGAAGAAGAAGAAGAAGAAGAAGGAGGGGAAGAAGAAGAAGAAGAAGAAGAAGAAGAAGGAGGAGGAGGAGGGGAAGAAGAAGAAGGAGGGGAAGAAGAAGAAGGAGGAGGGGAAGAAGAAGAAGAAGAAGGAGGGGAAGAAGAAGAAGAAGGAGGAGGGGAAGAAGAAGAAGAAGAAGGAGGGGAAGAAGAAGAAGAAGAAGGAGGGGAAGAAGAAGAAGAAGAAGGAGGGGAAGAAGAAGAAGAAGAAGAAGGAGGGGAAGAAGAAGAAGAAGAAGGAGGGGAAGAAGAAGAAGAAGAAGAAGAAGGAGGGGAAGAAGAAGAAGGGGGAGGATGTGAAGCAGAAGGAGGTGGAAAAAGATGAAGTGGGAGGATGTGAAGCAGAAGGAGGTGGAAAAAGAAGAAGAGGAAGAATTTAAAAAAAAACGAACAGGAGAAATACTGAAGGAATAGAAGACGAATCGTGTACACATACCGGGTCAGAAATTAGGATTTACGTTTTATTCCAGAACAAGACCAGAGTAGACTAACAACCAGGACTTTAGACCAGAGTTTATAGCCGGTGGACGCTAAAAAGAAGATGAAGAGGAAGAAAAAGAGGAAGAAGAAGAGGAGGAGAAGGAGGGAATTGTATTAGAAGTGGGCTCATATTAAAATTAAACATTAGAAAGATCTGCTTGGCGCTGCGACCAGTAGTGTTAAGATTTGCTAGCCTTTCTTCGGAGGTAAAATCTTAGGTGCTTTGAGGTAAAACAAAACAAAAATCACGTTCAACCAACATTCCCGAAAAGGGGGGGGGGGGAGCTTTAGGTTATAAATGCGATTAGGTTAAAGGTGCCATATAAAATGGCTAAGCTTTGCACCTTACCATGAGCCATAAAAAAGACACCTGCATTTTTGATGCGATCAAAGGAGACAGACACAAATACTGTCCTGACCGGCAACGAAGTCGTCAACTGGCGAGCCGATGGGCGACCCGGTCGCCTATGTTACTCTACTTCGGAGAGGTGAAAGCTGAAATTAAGCAGCCTGTCAACCACCTGTAGAGCACCCCAGTCAACCTTTCTCCCATACCCCGCCAGGCGACGGGCCTAGCAAGCCGGCAGTAGTGTAATCAACCGCTAATATACAAGAAAGAATATTGAATTATATGAAACCATGGGTCTTTTGGTTATGTGATAAGAAGGAGAAAACTGGAGTACGTGGAGATAGTAGAGAAGTTTGAGGGGAGGCAGAGGGAGACCGAGAGACAAGACGCTAGACAGTTCGACATCAGGGCGTGGAGGATTATCTGTGTCAGAGCTGATCGAAAGTACACGAGGTAAAAGGTTTGTGGATAGACATAACTACCAGCATGGACTTGAAGAAGAAGAATGTCACTGGGCTAAAACCTGGTGTCAGTGGGACAAAAAAAAAAAGAAGAGTGGAGTTGATTAAAAAAGCGATATCGCAGCACTTGTGGCATTCCCATTAGCGCTATGTCCCCATCTTCAGCAGCCAGCGCAGAGTTCCAGAACCAATGGTGCCTATAGCATTCTGATTATAAGTCCATCATGCCTTTCCTCTGAGCAAAAGAAGCAGAAGAAGAAGGCGGTCTCAGCGGCGGTGGAGATGTTCTGCATAAGGAGTATGTTGAAAATACATTGGGCTGCCAGAATAACTAACAACTGTTGAGTATGAATGGCTAGTGAAAGTTGAAAATTAAATGCAACAGTAAAAACTATACTTTGGCCATGTGATATGAGAGGCATTCGAGAACACGTGACGACTGAAAAGATGAGTAGTAGAAAAGGCAGACAAAGAAAAATAATTCTAGAAGGCTGAAGACCAAAGTCCAGGAGTGGACGAACAACTACAACTTTCCGCTGGAAATACAGCTGTTCTCAACCTGCTGGTCGCGCCCCTTTTTGGGGTCTAGCGATCCTTTCACAAGGGTCGCTGAAGAGCATCGGAAAACATATATTCTGTGAAGTTATGAAGGAAAATAATTGTTTGGGCGTCGCCACAACATAAGGGAACTGTATTAAAGGGTGAGGGCATTAGGAAGGCTGAGAACCACTGATTTAATATTTCTTTTGTAGTAATGATTGAAATCTCGACAATCATTCTCGATGACCAGTATAAAGGCAGTCAGACAACAATGAGATCAAGACTCAAGTGGAAACAGTAAACATACCTGCGTCCTTGACATCGATGGTGAAGTTCAGCGGCCTGTTAACCGCAGCCTTCTTAAGTCCGGCGCCCTTGACAGTGACCTTGCTGGCGTCACCCCTGAGCTTCCTGACCTTCCCCCCAGCACCAGCTTTCTTCTCCACAGTCTCGACCGCCATGGAGGATTGTTCTACAACTGGCGATGGTTTTCTTCCGGTTCCTGTCAGGAAGCAAGATGGAGTCAATATTTCGCGTGTTTAGAATCATTATTGCATTAATTCTAAGATGAAAAATTATTATAATTCAAAATAAGAACGACAGAATAAAAGTTCATAAGTATTAGACACAAACGGACAATGACACAATTTCAAACAAAAATGCACACTATCACTTTTCTGTAAGATGTCTGTCACAATAAGTTACCATATTGTGTCTGAACAGTAGAAACTGGTCAGGAAGTTACCTAGAAAAGGGGGAAAGGGGATAGGTAGGCAGATAACAGCAACGGACGTTAACTCGAAATGTTAGATACAACTGTGTTGGATATGAAGACCCTTAGGGGAGAGACAATAATTTGACAAGAAAGTTCTCAAAAACATGCAACGATCTACTGAGCTCATTTTATGACAAAACTGGTGCAGTCATAAAACAGGTTCTGAAGCAAAGACATGTACACTAAGGGAGGGAGGACGTCCAAAGGAAAAACAAAACTACAAACGTGGATGACAGAGCCCAGTGGTGCAGATTTAGAGGCGCTGATTGATAGTTTATGATCCAACAAGGGCAAGGGGTGCGAATTAAACAATATCCAGTGACCAAAAGGTGAAGAAAGTACTCTGGAATTGGATAGGACACAGGTTGAAACAACGTGAGAACAATATAACTATGATGTCTTTGCTCTGGAAACCACAGGGGCGTAGAAATAAAGGAAGACAAAACAAACATGGACAAGAAAGCTGGAGAGTGAAGTTCAAAAGATAGGGAGGGCATGGAGAGAGCTGCATGCGAAGCGAAGGATAGAACGACTTGATAAGAACTGGTTGAGGGCCTATGCTGCACGGGGAGCTAGAAGGGGAGACGAAAAATAGGTAAAGGACAGAAGAAGAGGTGGACGAGGAAGAATAAGAAGAAAAATATTTGACGACGACAATGACGAAGAAGGATTAAGAACAGCACACAACAGACTCAACAGCTGAATGTAAACAAAGCAAGTGGAGGACAAGGATAGGTGCCTAGGCAGTTTTACCACATAGTGTGATCGAAACAAGAACACAGACATAATTCAGGATTGGTGACCGCCTGAGATAGCGAACCATGACCTCAGAGACTTATTGGCAAACACATTATAATAGTTATGATTCAGAGGAGGAAGAGGCGTATACCACAGGGCTAAAGCTAGGTTCTAAGGGAATCTCTACATGAATGACAAGCACCTAAACTACAGAACACATACTACAAATGTGGTATCAAAATGCAGCGCTCAAACGAACTTTCTTCTACATGTAGAACTACAAAAGCCTGACTGCAAAAGACAAGAGTTCATGCAGGAAACAAAGCCGCAATTGTTCTTCTGTTTCTTCTCAGTCGTACACTCCCTCCGGTGCAAAGTTCTGGCTGCTTATCCACTTCTGGACTTTGGCCTTGTTCTAGAATGTGAGTTTTGCGTGCATATCCGTCTAAGCGATCTAGCTTTTTGTGTATGCAGACTGTTGGTTCTTCACTTCACAGACAGATGAATTCTGACTTCAAATGACCCCCCCCACACCCCCAATGAGTCGCATTTTAAGCCCTTTGTTAGGGAGAGGGGCGGTGGGTTTTGTCCCCACCCCAAATGGGGTTTCGGAACCCACACGGGCAGGGTCACTAGTCCAGTCCTTTCGCATTTTTTAAATGCTAAACCTGTTTTCTGCATTTCTGAGTCCTGGAAATGAATTTATGTGAATTACAATTGTTGCAAGTTTCATTAACTCATTATGTACCTCATTGTTTTCTGCATTAATGAAGAAAGGGTAAGGCTATAGAACTCTGTTTTACTCCTACTATACATAAAGCCAGTTTGATGTTTCACCGATTGCTCGAACAGATGTTTTTTGTTCATACTATAGTGATTAAATTTAATGGATCATATGACCCGCATCTCCATTGATGTTTTTTAGTTTCAGAAACTGAAGGCTTTACTGTATTCCTCAACACAAAAACGGGACTCTTTGTTGTATTCTTTACATTCTGCTGGGAACCCTGATCTTTTGAAACACATTCTTCCCCTTAGTGAGTTTCGAAGACGTTACCAGAAGCTTAGCAGCCAAGATTGCCAGCAACTGCGCCAGTTCCTGCATTACTTATTTTCAGTATTTCATTTTTTTACACCATTTTTCTGTACTGCACTATACTATACTATACTATACTATACTATACTATACTATACTATACTATACTATACTATACTATACTATACTATACTATACTATACTATACTATACTATACTATACTATACTATACTATACTATACTATACTATACTATACTATACTATACTATACTATACTATACTATACTATACTATACTATACTATACTATACTATACTATACTATACTGTACCGTACTGTACCGTACTGTACTGTACGATATACTGTACTGTACTTACTGTACTGTACTATACTATACTATATACTGTACTTACTGTACTATATACTATATACTGTACTGTACTATACTATATACTGTACTGTACTGTACTGTACTGTACTATACTATACTATACTATACTGTACTCCCCCGTGTGGGTTCCGGGGCCCCATTGTGGGGAAAACAAGAATAGACCCACTGCCTCCCCAAAAGCATGTCGTAAGAGTCGACTAATTGGGGATCTTCCTTTGAAGTCGGAGTACATCTGCCGGAGAGGCAAGGAACCAACAGTCTGTATTCAAGAGAATGAGATCTGTAAAACTGATGCACACGCAACACTCAGGTTCTGGAGCAGGAATGCAGTTTAGTAGTGGACGAGCAACCAGAACCTTCCGCCAGAGTTTACAGCTGGTGAACGCGAAGAAGAAAGAAGAAGTATACTGTACTGTACTATACTATACTATACTATACTATACTATACTATACTATACTATACTATACTATACTATACTATACTATACTATACTATACTATACTATACTATACTATACTATACTATACTATACTATACTATACTATACTATACTATACTATACTATACTATACTATACTATACTATACTATACTATACTATACTATACTATACTATACTATACTATACTATACTGTACTGTACTGTACTGTACTGTACGTACTGTACTGTACTGTACCGTACCATACCATACCATACCATACTATACTATACTTCACTACACTACACTACACTACACTACGCTACGCTACACCATACCATGCTTCACCATACTGCACCGTACCACATACTATACTATACTATACTATACTATACTATACTATACTATACTATACTATACTATACTATACTATACTATACTATACTATACTATACTATACTATACTATACTATACTATACTATACTATACTATACTATACTATACTATACTATACTATACTATACTATACTATACTATACTATACAGCTCATTACTACCATGCAATATATTATACCGAAAAATAATTGGTAATGTACTATAGCATTCAAGTATATACAATATTCTATTACAGTAATCTCTGTTGTACCATACTATGCTATACTGCACTGTGCTTACACTGTATACTACTTTCTAAGTCAGAGCTTTTCGAACTGTGTGTCGCGACTGCAGTATGAAGGTGGGTCGCGCGAACGTGTTATTCTGTAGGTTTTATTATTGTACTAATAAATTATAGCAATGGCATTACTGGCCTGCACCACAACATACAGACCAATAATACAATATAATTGGCAATAATCCGCGGGCCACTTGCTACTCCTCTGCGGATCGCTTTCGGCCCGCGGGCTGCCAGTTGAATAGCCCTGTCTTTCAAGGTAATGATACCCTTAGCTTGCCGGCAGACTGAATAACTGTGTCGCGAAATTATTGTTTTAAATGTGTGTCATCAACACGAAAAGTTTGAAAAGCTCTGATCTTAGCGAAACAAGTTCAAACAGGCAGTGACCCACACACAATCATGCGCATGCAACGGTTTGGATACAAGGGCTCGAAAAATATCCAACAAGGAACATGGATGCTGATTGAATGAATGTTGAATGAATGAATGAAGAGAATCTCTGCACTCGAGACATCCGCAACACGCTCAGTCTCCTTCTTTAGTTTCCAGAGTCGATTTGCTAATAATACCTGTTACAAGTTGATTAAAAGTCCCCTTATGTTTTCCCCACAGTGTTAAATATTTTCCGTATCCCCGGCTCACCACTGGCTAAATTAGTCTGTCAATATATGGATCCTTGGTCTATTCTGCTGCACTGTCCACTTGATCCCAGAAAGAATTCACCACTCCTGCTCTATCATAAAGTAGTCCAACACCCAGAGGAGCCGCAGCAGCCAATCTATCAGCCTGCTCATTAGCCCGCACATCCACATAACCTGGATATAAAATGCTGAGATATGACAATGGCATGGGCACACCATGGATGATGTCATTTGGGAGGGGCTGATGAGAGGGCTACAGGCTTGTCGTAAGTACCAGAATCAGTGTTGAATTTAGACATAAGCTACAGTTTAGGGCCTTATAATATGTAGAGGCCTCAACCAATTCCTTTTTTTAAAATTGTTGTTGTTTACCAATGCAGTTATCTTTGAATAAAGTTTTTTTAGAGGAATATATGATTTCTTTCTGATTTCGTCAACTAAAAATTAAACAGTATTTTCCCAACGTCCATTATATTAAACAGCCGTATATATTTTAAAGTATTCTGAGGGTAGCTAATATAAACAAGGACCTCAGGACTTTATATAGCCAAGGACAGTCTAAATCCAGCCCTAAACAGAATCCTAATACTGGAGCAGATGATTAAGTTCCGATCCTGCTTTCTTTTTTCTTTCTGAGCAAGTCTAGTAGACCTTTCAGTTAGTGGATTTAATCTCGCACACAAAACCGCGCTCAGCACCCCCCCCCCCCCGCCACCTCTCTCTCTCTCTCTCTCTCTCTCTCTCTCTCTCTTTCTTTCTCTGTCTCTGTCTCTCTCTAACTCACTCAACTCACTTATATATATGTATACATATAACATACACA